ACAATGTTACCAGTAGCATACTACATGTCTGACCTCACATATATCGATAATATATCAGATAAGAATTGAATAGCAAAAAAAAAAAACACGAATAAATCGGTTAGACGCCAGCTTTGCGACCTTTAGCTAGAGCTGACAACATTTTTTTGGAAAGTCAATGTTACATTTTTACTCGAAGATTCCCTAAATCCTGCAGTCAATGTCTTTTTGCGCTTTTGTTATTTAGAAGCGCTTTCGAACTGACATTCAATATTGAATATTGAATTGTAATTTCTATCATATTGAGCCAATCGAAAAACTAACCATATCGCTAAAAAGACTTTATCGACTTTAGTGTAGGTTCTAAGTTACAGATCATTTGGACAAATATTCAATTAATGAGAAGCCGTGCAATTTACAGAGAATGTATGGGGATTTTGACCGCGTCCCCCAAAACAATACATTCTCTGTTAATTTGATGAAACTAGAAATAAATACTGTTCAGCTAGTTTTTATCCAAACGTTTTGAAACTTGGTATATATACTAATTTTTGGGTGTCCTTTCAACTGGTGGGGTTTGTTTCGTGAATAGATCAATATTTCTTTGATTAGTGCCCAGTCCCCTGCGCAACGTCGAAATGGCCAATAAAATGAAGAGCATTATAACATTTGACGTATTATGTATGTTTTCGAAATATCTCAGGGGAGAACTATAAGATCCTATAACGGATCCAGGGTTTTTCAAAACGGGGTCCAGATCAGGAAATAGATTGCTATGACGTCATTTTGACGTCATAAGATGCCACGTGACAAGGCCGTACTTAGACTACGCATGCGTGCTGCATTTCAACACATGCATGTAGTTTGAGCTTCGCAGATTATCAGTACGACTGTATAACAACAGGACACAACCCAAAACGTCTGTAATCTTTTTAATCAAAATTTACAAATTATATTTTTCTTGATATTCAAAAATCTAACCCATAAAACCTTTTAAGGTTTTAAAAAAATTAAAAAAAGGGGTGGAAAAAAAAAATAGGGGTGAAAAAAGAAAGCGGACCCCGTCGCAAAACCCCTAGATCCGTCACTGTACTTTGTTTTTTTTTCTCATATTTTCCTCTAAATAGACCTCTGCACCTTTTACGTCATGTAGCGTATACGCAATGCATTGTGGGACATGCTTGGGACGAAACATGACGGATTTCTTTTGTTTTCTCTTGAAACTGATCCCACAATGCATTGAAAATCAAGTAGTGACGTAAAAGGTTCAGAAGTCTATCCTACGTTGTTTTCTTCGCGGTTTTCAGCAGCGGTACTCGGGGGAAGTTTCATAGTGAGCCACGTTTCCTCATCGAAAGTCAGCTTAAACCATTTGTTAACCTTGACGATAAAATCAAAATTTAGTTGTTTAAAATGCTTACCTGTGATATATTTCAAAAAGTATTGATCATCACTAGTCTTGAGGGACACAATTCTACATGTTGAGGAACTTCTTAATCATCTATTCTTCACTGTAAAAAATGCCTGGTTACGATGACCAATAAAAATGGTCGTAACCAAACAGTATTGGTTGTTTTGACCAAACGTATTTGGTTGAAACGAGTTGACCAAT